TTGCCGGATCTTCAAAACGCAAAAGGAACTGAAGGTTCTTTTCATCAAACCAGGGGGAAAGTATGTGAAAACATTTGTTTTGATGAAAACACCTTCTTGTTTAAACATTGCTTGATTGGTTTAAACATTGCTTAAGTATGCCTTAATTGCGCTTATTATGCTTGATTATGCTTATCTCAAGTATGATTTTGTCTTAATTATTTTTCTGAAGCACATACATTCAGGGGGAATGTAATTCAGGGGGAACTTAACTAGTTTTGGCTAACAATTGTTTTTGGCAATGAATTATTGATAAGCTCAAAGCAATGGAAGACGGATATCTCAGTTTTGGTACTAAAATTGGAAATCTCCGATTCAGGTACTTTACAAAATCTGCCTTCTTAAACTAAGGCTTTAGTCCTTAATTCATTTCCAACGAGCTCTAAAAGTACTGGTCCCTAGGATGTTTAAAAATGTACAGGACTTTGGAAAAATAGTACCATTTTTCTTTTTAAATATTCATATTTGTTTTGGTGCTACCTCGTCCTAAGTAGAAGTTAGAACTATAGGGAATGAAAAATGATAGTCTTATTTTGGGCCTTGAGAACCCAATAGGAATAATTTCCCTTTAGTACATAGCTTTCTTTTCTTTTTGGGCCACTCTTTTGGGCTTAGCCAAACTAAAACAGTTACGTTTCTCAAACCAATCGAAACTGATTTTCAAATTAAAACAGTTTCAATTCCTTGGTAACTGGTAAAAGATTCCTTCTACTTTTCAACTTCTTGGAAGTTGAAACTCATTTACTCTCACCATTCCAACTACCCACTTAATGGAACCCGTGAAACTCCTCCTCCCCTATTTAAATCAAGATATCTCAATCCACTTTCATCACAAACAACTCTCCAAATATGAAAAGTCTTCAAACTCACTGTCTAAGGAATACACCAAGAAAAATATCCTCAATGGAGATACTTTTCTTTCTCACCCTCAAAGACGGAAATGGAAGAAGTCTATTGAGAAGAAAAGACTTTTAAGGTCTATGGTGAAAATCTCGGCAGTAGAGAAGGTCTATGGTGGAAATCTCGTATTTTTCAGTATTAGACCATACACCTTCTCTGGAACAACACTCTCTCTATCTTTTTTGAGAGATGTGTTGCTTCCAAGATCTTGAATATCCACTTTGGATATTAAAGATCTATCAAACGCAACGCCAACTGCTCAACCAAGCAAAATCTGCTAAAGCTGAAAACAGTCAAGGCGGAAGAGATCACAAAATCTCAAGACAAAAACTTGGTTTAGGAATTATTGTAATTTAAATTGTATTTGTTTAAGAGTTTTTGTTAACAAGCTGTATATTATGAGAAACTAAAAGAAAGTTACAAAATTATCGATGATCGGGGTAGGCCCGATGTTCTTTGTCCGACTTGGCTTTTTTTGCTGAAACTGATGTTCGACTGGTGTATCCAACTCGATTGGGCTCAGGATCGTTGGAGAATATGTGCAAGACTGGTGTGAGACCAGTGTACCAGTTTGACTGGGTCACATATTTTCTTTATTTTTTATTTATACTGCACAAAACCGGTGTGAGACCAGTGTACCAATTTGATTGGGTCGCCTTCCTTCTAATATGTGCAAGATCGTTGTGAGACCAGTGTACGAGGCTGGCCTGTGTCACATACTTTTATCATTTTTTCATTTATACTGAGCAAGACCTGTGTGATAACTAGCGTACCAGGTCCGGGCCTGTGTCTCAGTTTGTTCATCCAGGCCGGGTTTCGATGTGTGTTTGATGTATTCGGTCTGACCGGTTCACCTTTCTATCTCTCATAATCTGACTCGGTTAGGTTGTTTCTTATACTCTCCCCATCCCGCAAGGCTCAAGCCATGTTCTGGAGACATCTACACTCTTTCGTATTATGTGAATTCGTCTTGTGGTAGGTAAAATACCTTTCTACCCAGGACCATTCTTGACCATCCTTTTCTATATTTTTTTACTTCATAGCACTTCTCCCAACCTATTAAAGGCAGATTTCTTTGATTTTGTAGGCCTTGGTGTCGTGCTTTTCTTCTGCTTGTGAGCACGGGGAATGTCCCACGCTTCATCACCACTCTCGATCGAGATGTACTAACCATATGGAGTGCTCTGAGGATTGCGTGATGGTCCAACAACATTCATGGTGCTCACCAGATTGACCGCAGGTATCGCACTCACCATCTGCGGTTGGAAGGGTGATGGTTGCAGCACCGGTGTTTGGAAGGGAGTTTAATTCATGGGAGCCTGTAGTGGCAGTTGTCCTGCACTTGGTAGAGCAAATGGGAACATGCCTTGGAGGAAAGGCATTCCTCCGGATTGCTGGCACATGGCCATCACTTGGCCAAAACCTTGAATGGCCTACAGTTTGGCCTGGTCGTTCAAGAATTGAGTCATGCTGAGTGGGAATGTTACTCATGGCTCGACAGATCGTACTAGGATTGTAAAAGGTGTGGTGTTGGCTGGAGTCGTGACATGACTGAGGCTCAATGGATTCATCGAGGTAGAGAGTGTGGGTTTCGGATGTGACCACCAGCATGGTCACCCCTTCAATGATGGCTTGCACTTGGATGGAAGCAGTGGTGTTTTGCTGACTGGTCAGCATGTTTTGTAAGTGGTGTTTCATGGGTGAGAACAAAAAAGAACTCAAACCGGTCCCACGGTCACTGCAAAAAATGATGGTGTAAAATACCACCCAGGCAAACTACTTTAGATCGGGTCTAAGATGGTTTGTTGAGTTTATAAACTAAATTGGCACATAAAACAAAAGTTAACCGTGAGGGATGTAGGTGGAAACACATGTTGTTCAACTGTTATTATATAGAATAGTATGGGGTAGTATATTACACAATATGCTCTAAAGAGATAAAGTTCGGCCCCTTCTACTGAGGGTTACAAGGTTATTTATAGTAGAGCCTAGGGGACAAGACAAAGAATGCCCACGTCGTCCTACGTTCCTGGATGGTGCGAGGTGACTTCTCTTGTCACGTAGCGCTTGTCCTACTCATTTGTTGGCTTGTGTTGATAGCACCTCTCTTGGCGTGTAGTGCTTGGGCAATAATATCTGTATGTTCTCCGCGAACTTTAGTCGCTACCGTCAAATCATGCTTGGATTATTCTTGCCAACACATGTACACCAAAACTGGCCACCCAATACTAGTCCCAAAAACTTGTCTAGGTGGTTTCTTGAAGAAATGTCTGATCACTCGGGGATCTCCATGCACTGCGATGCTAGTTGACTTGGTGCCCAATAGTCACCCGGGTGGTCTTGGTTGAAACCCACACGGGTAGGGTACAGATCCACCCAAACAACCCTGCTGCATGGTACTTGGACTTTGCCCGGGTGGTCTAGGCTGAAACCCACCCAGGCAGGGAACAGATCCACCCAACCAATCTTGCTGCACAGTACCTGGAACTTGCCCGGGTGGTCTTGGCTGAAACCCACTCGAACAGGGTACAGATCCACCCAAACAACCCTGCTACATAGTACCTAGACCTTTCCCGGGTGGTTTTTGCTTGGCCTGAACCGGGTCATGGACTGGGTGGATTACACCCATCATAAACTTAAGTTCTCAAAATAGTATTTTCTAATTAAATATTTTCTCAAATTACTACTCTAAGGTTATAATTATATAATCGTGCATCCGAATTATGAAAGCTTTTACTATACATAATCCTACTTGAAAAATAACATCCTAATTAGAAACCTCTAAATAATCTTTTAAAATTCGAATCAAATACACATCTTTAATTAAAAAAATTATATTGGGAAGACACTTCATTAGAAATGATTATTTTAAGAACTTATTCTAAATTTAGCTGATAAAGATTACTATAATATCCCTCAATTAATCATCAAGTGAGAAAAAGTATTTACAAAGGACTATATACAGAATAAATCTCAATTATAGAGGATCTCGTATGTAATTAGAACCTATTGAGGACTAATCTGAGAAAATACCTTATTAGAGAAGACCATTTTGAGAATCTACTCTAGAATTTTGTTTACAATAGAATCTTTGTAAAGTTTCTGATCACTTTCTTGGTGATTATAGTTTCAACCATGCTAGAGGAACACCAAAATGTGTACCTCAAGAAATGCATCGAGATTTTAAAGGTTCACACTGACACAAAAGTTTAGTAAAATTTAAAAAATTTACACTTTGTCATTATGAATCACTACACTAACATTACACTAGGATAAAATGTTTGTTTATGCCTTTGAGGCATAAAATGAGGTACTCAAATTTAGTTTTTGTTCACTTTAAGAGTTGTCATGTCTTTTTCCCATTCTTGTATTTGGCCTATTCAAATTAGGGGTGCACACGGTACCGGTACGCTACCGTGACCGGCAACGGTACCGCCGGTACACGCCACCGTCACCGCCGGCCGGGACGTTCCACCGGTTCCAGGAACCGGTACTGGTACCGCCCTTCTCGGTATCGGTTCCGGTGCCAAATTTTCGGTATCGGCACCGCCGTTACTGGTTCTGGTACATTTTTTATTTCTTTCTCAACGGTCTAATGGGGGGTCCACACCTGCAGGCTGCACTCTGCAGCAACGGCTATTTAGCCGTTTGAGGGAATGAGTGGGGAGGGGGGTGATTTACTATAAATTATACCATTTTTTCAAAAAAAAAATTACACTCAATCCCTCTCTCAATATCTCAATCTATCAATCTCTCAATCTTATTATCTCTTTTCAATTTTTATACAAATTATATTGATATAATAATATAAACATATATTTATATATTACATAATAACCTATAAATACATTCATTATTCATATTATCAATTATCATATATTTTTAGTTTATTACTAATATTATAATTTCGAAATTTTCGAAATTTAATATATACTTTATTTTTTAAATATTTAATATAGTTCGAAATAGTCATATATATATATATATATATATATATATATAATATAAGTTTTTAAAAAATATTAATATATAATTGATGGATACCCAATATTTTCCCAGAGACTGTAGATCGGCCCAGGTCGAAATATAGGTATCCGGGCCTTATAATATTGAAAGATAATACGAGAATAGTAATTAATAATATGGGAAGTATTGCTCACAGAATAAGAACTCAAAACCGACGGTCCTTCCCTCTATTCGGTCCACTTAGGATCGGAATATACTCAAGGATCGCCGGAATATCTTTTATTATTACTCAAGTATTTTCTCTCTCTATTACAAGATGATCCCTCCTCTCTTAGTCCGTCTCTCTTTTATAGGCGCTCCCCTCCACTATCTCATTCAAATAATCGCAGTGGTTGGGGAGGATATTCATGCCAGCCTTGCTTTCTCCGAGAGGGATGTATCTTAGGTTGAAGCCATCCACTGGAGGACAAGCCTGTCCGTCCATCTCTTATTCCCTGTCCTTCGTCCGTCCCTTTCTCCTCGTCCATGTCCCTCTTGTTGAGGGGCGGCCTACCCTAATCTCTTCCATCGGATTCCTTCTTTTTGGGTGACTTGTTCCTAATGGGCTGGGCTTCAGCCCATTCTTAAGTCCCAATCCTTTGCCTTTTCCTATATTTCCTCACAGACAACTTCCCTTGACCGGCCTAATATATTTTCTCTGGGCCGGATTCTCCTTTTGATGGACGGGATCTAAATTGGGCCTAGGCCCAATTCGCTGGTATTCTCTCGATGGGCTTGGTTCCATAAAAAAATTTTGACTGCAGTCTTCCTTGCATCTTTAATTGGAAAGTTTTTTCTCCTCTTTCTGAGAAAGATTCTTCTTAGGGGAGAAACCCCTCTGTGAAAATTTAATCTCTACTCACTCCAAATGATGTTTCCCATAATGCATCCTTCGCGGGCCATGGATGAATAATTGTGTGAGTGGAGTGCATGTGGCCATACTCCCCTTGGACCGTAGTGACGCGGGTCTGTCCAATTGCTGCCTGGCATGCAAACGGTCACTGGACACCTTAATAATGGTGGACCGTTGGCAGAGGAGTAAAGGCAGTAAAGGCATTAGGCGTGGACCGTATGCATGGGAAAATGCATTAGGGAATGGACCGCTAGGAATTCCTGTCCCTTCAAATGTCCAGGGCCCACTTTTCTAAAAGTTGCAACCCTTTTGACCGGATTCCTTGAAGTCTCTTAATTGCTACTGGACCGATTTTGAACCATGGGATATTCAAAACTCTTTCCCTACGATAATAATGGTGGGACCGTTGGCAGAGAAAAAACGTCAGGTGTGGACCGCCACTTGGTAAGAGACGTTTGGGAGTGGACCCTTTCTTCTTCCTCTCTTCCCCTTCTATAAAATCAGTCCATCTCTCATCTTCTCTCTCACGCTTACACAATCCTCCACAACCCTTTCCTCCATCACTCCCGCGCAACTGAGGGAGATGAGGGGGATGATTCCTCCTGACTACGAAATCCAGGAAGCTGTGGGGACTACATTGGAGCATAACCCAGACGCCTCCCACCGGTTAATCGTCCACTACGACTCTGTTAGGATGGGATGGCATTTTCCTTTCCATCCCCTCTTGATAGAGATTTGCAATCGCTATGCCATCCCTCCGGGCTAGATTTCCTCCAACTCTCACAAGAATCTCTTTGGCTTCCTAGCGCGATGTCATAAGACAAGCATTCAGCCAACTTTGACACTCTTCCTCTCTTTCTTCCGCCCCCACAAATATGATAGCGAGTCAGGAAGGGGATTTGTGAGTTTCACGGCTCGGACCGATATGCAATTCTTGGAGAGCCCGGTTGACAAGCTTGACGATTGGTTCCGCCGTTTCTTCGTGGCGGTAGCCCCGGGGAACCTCCCTTTCCCCAACATATGGCGAAAGAAGGAGGACAAATTTCCTTCTCACACCTTTCCCCCTCGCAACTCAGATCTCGAGGGGGTTTTCCGTCTTCTCCTCAAGAACGGTCATCCGGTTCCCCGCGCCCTTGTCTTCAAGGATTCGTATTTCCGGGGCCTCGAATATTGGGTGTCTCACGATATCCCACTTTAAGAGCTGTCGGGGGACACTACTTCTTCCTGGGCTCCTCCCCTTAGGAACACCCGACTACGCAAGGGGTCGCGGCAGTCCTCCCGAAGGGATCCTTCCCCGGAAGATGAAAGTGAAGACGAAGAGGTAGGGTCCGCGACCGGGGTCCAACCGCTGCTAATTGGAGACCATTCTTTTGTCCCGGAAGAGGTGGTGGTCGAGGATGTATCCGACGATGATGGTCTCTACGATTTTCCTCCCGGGACCTTGAGGGGATCCAGTCTTATTCCCGGCGTTCCTCACACCCCTCTCTTCGGCAGGGGGGCTTCTTCTTCTGCTCCGCACATGGGTCCATTGGGTTTCCATCCCCAAACTAGTGGGGCCCATCCAATTGGTCACGCCACCGGTTCGCAAGGGTCCCTTGAGCCGCCTCATGTCCAGGTGGCTGGAATTGGAATCCCATGTAGTACGGAGTCTCCTTGGGAATATTCCCCCTCCTCTGGCTGTGGGGGGAATGAAGCAATTTCCCAGCCCCAACCGTCCACTGCCCAAAATTTTTCAGAGTCAGCAGTGGAGAGCATATTTGGGACGCCCCTTGGCCAGGATGTTCCTCTCCCTGGAGCAAACATCCATCAATCTTTTTTGGAGACAGAGGAGTTAATTCGGTCCTCCAGCTTTGGAAAGGCCACTGTCCAGCCATCCATCCATCCAACCGCCGTCCCCGGTCCATCAACTCAGGAGACCGGGTCTTCTTCTTCCCAGACCCGTCCTAAGAGGGGCCGGAATTCCATTCCTCTCCCAGGCTCGCCGGCATCCGCCGGTCCTTCCATGGGACCGCCAATCACTTCCTGGGGACCGCTGGTGATGGGTCTCTTACCGGGCAAGGGAATCAGCCCTTTCCCTATGCCTGGTGATGGGTCTATTATGAAATATTCACGTACTTCCAATCATCGGTTCTAATTATTTTCATTTCATTAATTCTTATCATTTCTTACAGGGTACAAGGATTCATGCTCATCTCAAAAGACCCAAAAAGAAGAAATTTGAAAACCAAATTGTGGAAGACGGTGTCTTTGCGATTCGAAATGTTTTTGTTCATGACAATTACCAATTATGCAAGACAACCTCTCACAAATTTTTTTTGGTGTTTTACACCAAGACCGAAGTGAAAACTTTGAGCGAAAGAGACTTTCCCAAAATGAAGTTTGATTTGAAATCTTTTTCGAGCATTCAAGCACAACCCTGTTTAAATGATCAACTTGTCATCAGTAAATACATTTTTTGAAAGTGATTTTAACAAGTACGGTTTTAAAGTTTGACATACAATGAGTATATAATAAAAAGTTTAACTTATACAAACGTTGCAGATGTGATTGGAAAAATTGTGGGGCGTTCGAAAGTTCAAACACACATCAAAAGAGGTGGCGAAGAGAAATTAATGGAGTTAACACTTGAGGATCATGAGTATGAAAATTTATTTATAAAGCAACTACATACGATTAACTATTTGAAAAAATAATATGATAGTAAAATAAAAATTGCAGAGGCAACCGTTTGGCAAGCTCCTTATGGGGTGAATATGTCGAGAAGTTTCTTAATTGTTTGACCTAGAATGTTTCGGGACCTTTTATGTTGCTCCTAAGCTTTTGTCGCCCCAAGCGGTACAGGGGTAAGATAAAAATCTTAAAGTGTGTTTCTTATACAATTCATTTCTTTATTTATAATATTGCATAGAACAATTCTGGAAAACAAAATTAAATTAGTTTTTTTCAGGTGTTGTGACAGTTTCAAGCTCATTTCATGTCACCAAGATGATTTTCGATGGAAAATCTGATGAAGTTAATCATTTCCGAGTTAAGTGTGTTTTCTAATCTAAAGTTTCTTCATGTCTTTTTTGGGAGGAATGTAGAGGTTATTTTCAAATAGCTTGTCGATGCAAGTTGATGATGCAAGTGCTTCCACCACTTTCATGTTACTTGGGGAGAATGAAGATGATGTTGGTCCTGTGAAAATCACCCCCCTAAAGACTCTTCTTGACACAACAAAGGTTAAATCCACCACCTTGAAATTTTAAATATTTAATATTTTGTCCATTCACGACATTTTATATCTAATTTCTATATTTTTGCCTAAATAAAAAGCCTGGAGCTTACTATATTCTTTCCGAGATTTCTTCTATTGAGAATACACCGGATTGGTGTTATTTGGGGTGCACTGACTGCAATAAGAAGGTTATACCAGACCATTCTCAATTCAAATGTTCCGGATGTGATCTCATGATGGCCCATAGAGTGTACAAGTACGTTATATTTTAAAAATTCAATTCCAGATAAATATTAAACTTTAAACATAATTTTTCTCGATCTAACGCATGTTTTAACTATAACGAACAAGTATAAGGTGAATGTTCATGTCTTTGACGCCACTGGCCACGCCTCCTTCATTCTTTGGGATATTGAGTGCAATGAGATTTTAGGTGCAAGTGCATTCCTCCTTAGAGAGCTTATGCTTGAGGTTTGTAGAACCGAATATGAATTCATTTTTTTATGTAATTGCTTACTTGGTAGTCTTTTCAACTGATTCATTATAATTTCTTGCCTAGCAGAGAAAGATGGACCCTAATTTGTTCCCCACGGAGTTGAATCATTTAATCGGCTAGAAAGGTTTGTTCAATGTTGTCTTGAAGTCTGAAGGTGGGAGTCCACACTGGATGGGCCCTAGGAGTTTTGGTGTTCCATCCTTCGTTACGGATCTAAGAATTCTCAAGAAATATGAACATTTGGTCGAAAATGTTATTGAAGAAACTGTTGAAGATGGGGCTGATGATTTGTGGAATTCCCTAGAGGACCTAAGCCAGAAAGTTGGAGAAGTGGTCTCTAATTCTCTTTTCAATATATATACATGAGAATAAACGCAAGTCAATTTCTTTACTTAATATTCTCTTTTTTATCGTAGATCGGTTCAAATACCCCAAGTTCAAGCCAAACTGAGGCCACTTCCTGCCGGAAGATCGATGCAATTGAGAACGGGGATCCGATCAAGCGGCAGCTCCTTGATGAGTTATCGACCACAACTCGCATGAAGAAGGTCAAGAGGGAGGCTTTGGAAAAGTGATTGTATAAGAGCGATGGAAACAAATGAAGCAACGTAATGGATGAAGGGCCCTATGTTTTTGAATTGTTGGTGTATGACATGATGTTTTTGGTTTTTGTTTTTTTGTTTATTATTATGTTAAACATTGCCCGAGGGCCCTATGCTTATCAGTTCCTATGTTTTAATCAACTATCTTCGAACTCAAGCGAGTTTTCACTATTAAAAGGCATTGGTCGCTTTTATCTACACTTCAAGTTTTGTTTGATAAAGAAGTCGTTATATGGCGTAATGTCCTTAATATTTTTCTACACTATAGACATACATTCAAAATTAGGCACATGTGTGAAGTTAATAACTATAAAAAGTATATGTAAAAAGCTATATCACGATGAAATATAACTTAGCCAGGATATAACTGTAAAAAATAAATGTCTAAACCCGTTAAAAACTATAGCACGATGAAATAGAATTGTACACGTTAAAAAGAACAGTACACGTTCTCAACAAAGTATAGAATGTTTAAGTCATTCTTGGGCTTACATGCATTAAATGCGGTAAGATTTCATTGAGAAGATAAAGGAATTAATTACATATACTTTTTAATAAACCAAGAAATCTTTTAAAATTTTCAGTGAATCTTGACATTTAGTACATGTCATATTTATTGGCTCAATACAAATACATACTCTTCAAGGAGTAATACAGTTGTGGCTTTGGAAAGTTTTTAGCATTTTAACATTTCAAAAGATTTCAAATTTTTTAATACCAAAAAGTATACATTCACCTCCCACGGTTGAATGTATTTTAGAGTATCAAGAAATGTTTTAGTCATTCATGGAATGACATGTATTATATGCCCTAAACTTGAATTGAGAAGTGTGTGGCATTAATGACATTAACATTTTAATAAACCAAAAATCTTTTGAAATCTTCAATGATCTTTGCATTTAATCCGACCTTATCATTTAAAACATGTCATATTTATTGGCTCAATAAAATACACACTACTCGAGGATAAAATGCGAAGCTCGCGTTTATAGGCTCAATAAGAATACGCACTATCTGTGCATTAAATGCATTAAATTTTCGTGTTTCAATGGTGTGGCATTTATAACATTTACTTTTTAATAAACCAAGAAATTTTTTGAAATCTTTAATAAATCTTAGCATTTAATGCATGTCATTTTTTGAGGCCCAAGAAATAAGTAAACATCCTTCAAGAATCAGAGCATTAAATAGTTGCCCGTGCATCAACACGGTTTGGTGTATTCCAAATCTGAGCATTAAATACATGTACTATTTATTGTCTCAAGAAAAACACTCACACTCTTCTAGGAAAAAGCCCTTCTAGGAAAAAGTTAATTATGGTTCTTGCATTGGAAAACAAGTTAGCATTTAATACAAGTACTCTTTTATAGAATGTCGTGATGTGGATACATATATTTATACTTCAAAATTATTTATTTTATAAAACCTTTGAAATAATATATTTTATTTACTTTATAAAATGAAAATGGATTAAATTGATCAACTTATCAAAAAAATAGTAAACTTAATTCTACATGGGAGGTGAATGATACATGATTGAAATATATTATTATTAATGGTTTTGATATATATATATATATATATATATATATATATATATGTATGTATATGTATATGTATATGTATATATTTATACATACAAATATATATATCATTTTAAAATATTTATTTTAAAAGATCATTTGAAATAATATATTTCATTTACTTTAAAAAATAGCCTCATGATAACCATATGTCTATATATATATATATATATATATATATATATATATATATATATATATATATATATATATATATATATATATATATATATATATATATATATATATATATATATATATATATATATATATATATATATATATATATATATTCTTTGAAATAATGGATGAAATTCACTTATTTACCATATTCATTCTATATTTTTTGAAGGAATATTCATTCTATATAATCTCTGAAAATTTTACACTATATATATATATATATATATATATATATATATATATATATATATATATATATAGACACACACACACATACATACATACTTTGTAAAAATTTATTTTTTTGAAAACGCTACATGGATGATTTTGAATTATCAAAAAATGTAGTAAACTTAAAATGAAATATATATATATATATATATATATATATATATATATATATATATATATATATATATATATATATATATATATATATATATATAACGTCAAGGTTAAGAATGAAAATATATTAATTGACCATAAATAATGATATACATACACTGGACATATATGTATAATTTATACTTTATATATATAAAATGAATGAACCACACGGTTCATTAATTTGATAACATTGAACAATAAATGACATTTTGAATGCCCCAAGAAAGAGATACACCACCTAGAAAAAATGACTAAAACACCTAGAGGCATACACCTATAGTAGAGCTAGGTTTGCTTTTATTTGTTTACTCCCCTATGCTTATATCATTTATATCTCCTATCACATTCCCTTACTTCATTTACTCCTCCATAACTACACCAACCACCACATTGCGGTTGAGCCTTAGCATCCAAGAGAATCATTCAATTCTTCCTTTTCAAAGTAAGTTAACTACACTTCTCAACTTTCCATTCACATTCTATTGCAATGCCGAAAATATAGACAAATTTTTTATTCAAAATATGAACTTCTTAATAATGTAAACAACAACAGTTTTAAACTAAGATAAATAGAGTAGTGAATAAAGCATTTGAATCACATAAATAATCTAACTCTTAATGACCTCAATCTATACAAAGGGTGTTGTTTCAAAAACCTTTTTCAAAGCATTGTTTTATTCATTATGGCTTTATTTTAGAGCTTTTGCATTTAAAAAGTGAATACATGTGTTCATGCTCACAAGAACTCTGTGAAACCTAATTTGAAGCAATGAGAAGGCTTTCAAAAAGCTCCAGAATCACATCCAAAAATGTGAGGAATTTTGAATCAAAGGTATGAGATGTGATGAAAAAACTTCTTTTGGGTGGGCTCTCTACTTTATACAATACTATACACCACAGTAAATCATTTCAAGGATTTTATGAAACATGAGTTTGTTTCCCTGATTCAAAAAATATTAATTTCACTACACAATATTTCCCTAATTCAAAAAAATACCCCTAGCTTTGTTTCTTGCTGATTTTTGAGCCAGATTCAAATATATCACACTCTACACTCATTACAGGCTAAACATTCATGCAAATAAGTTAATCAATACATACAAACTTTATATATATATATATATATATATATATATATATATATATATATATATATATATATATATATTGTTAGACAAATGTGCAACTCTAGAGGGGGGGTGAATAGAGTTGTTTTCAAGAATGTGGGTTTTTCGCGTAAAAAAAAATTATCGTAGGAATAAGTAAAGAGAGTAAGGGAAAGAAGAACACCGGGATTCATACTGGTTCACCACCTCGTGGCTAGTCCAGTCCTCCGAGAGACTCTCTCGAAAGTCCTACTAATCTTCAAGCTTCAACGGGTGCTTGAAAAACCAGTACAACTTGAGAACTTGAATCACACAAGCCTCACTTTCTTACAACAACAAGACTTGAGTCACACAAGTCTTTTGAACAACACTCAAATGAGATTGAGTTTACAACACAAG